TAAAATACTACTTTTTTTTTAATTGTTAAATAAAATATTTGAAAAGCTTTAGATACATAACAGTTTCTATTACCTAATAATAAAAATGCTACTAAGTATTTTAATGACTTGTATTAAGGTTATAACATTTATTATATAATATCAGTTTACTATAAAGCTTAACCTTTATACTCTTATATAAGATATCACGTTATACTAATAAATTTTATTACAATATTTATATTAAATTTTTATTAAGAGATTTATTTTATGTAGATACTTTTTATTTTTATATTACATTTCTATTTTTATATAACTTTTATATATTTAACATAAAATTAAAGAATTCTAATATTTTGATTGCTATTTTAATATAAATTATTAAAAAGTTTATTGTCTTAATACTATTTTAATATAAATTATTAATATTTAATATATTTATAAAGAAAATTTAATTATTTTATGTCTTAATAAAAAAGTTTCATAAATTATTGCTATTATAAATGCTTCTTAATTTTTAAATCTTTAAAATTTTAAAAATAAGCTATTAAATCTACTTTTATAATCTTAAATTCAATAAAAATAATTTTTAACTTAACAAATAATAAATATCAAGAATTTATCAATACTTATGCATATAGTATTATATTAAAAATAAGAAAAAGTACTCTAAATCATATGATTATTTGTAATAATATAATAAAAAATAAAAAAATATTAGAAATAAAAGTTCTGCTAAAATTGATAATATAATTAAAAGATATATGATTACTTCAATTAACCTTACTTTATATCTATAATAAGAGCAAACTTTTTAATCATATAGTAGAATTAATTCCTTTATTATAATTGACCCTATTAAATCTATGCTAAAAGTTTCTAAAAATGCATCAGTTCAAAAAAAAATTGCAAATACAAATAAAATAAACTTAATAAATTAAATCAAATTTATCTTTTCAACTGTTTTGCCTATAAATTTATAGGTAATTTTATTTTTAATTACAATTCTTTTAAATATTTTAAAATATATAATTAAAAAAATTAATACTTTTATAATAAATTTTATGATATTTTTTAAGTAAAAATTAAAAAAAAAATATAATTAATTAGTGATCTTTTAAAGAAAAATAAATAATAAATTATTATAAAAAATTAAAATTTTAAACTCATATATCTTGTTATCTATCAAATTTAAAAATATAAAAATACTACTATTTAATAGATCTTAATATGATAAATTTAATAAATTAAATTTATAATTTATTTCATAAGATAATAAAGATAATAATAGTTATAAAGATAATTTAGAGTTAAATATATTTAATTAAATATTTTTATCCTTTATTATTTAATCAATAAAATGTAATACATATTTTTAACTTGAATAAAATAAATAATATCTATAAAAAACATCTAATCAAAAAAATGATTTATCAAATTCTATATACTATAGTTCAGTGGTATGTATTTATGCTTTCAATAATATAAAATTTGATTGGAAGCTTCCAATTCAAATGAATTTATTAAAGGATTATACTTTCAACCCTTCCAAAGGTACTTTCAAGAGTGCTTCCAATTTTCCAAGTGCACATCACTACTATAGTTTTATTCAATTCTAGATCAGATTAGATTAATTAAAAAAATTTATAGTCAATCAGATTGTAGTTACAATTGAATACAATTTTTGATTGACCAGATCAATTATATTATCTGTAATAGATTTAATTAAGGTTGCTTATCTAAACTCAATTTGGATTTGGAAAAATGTCTAAACTATAGTTTCACTAATTTTTTATTAAAGTTTTGATATAGTTTCACATTTTTATAAGCTTTGATATAGTTTTATCTTTTCTAAAATTTCGCAGATTTTTTAATAAATTTTTAATATAATTTTGCTAAATTTTACTTTTTTCTATTTAGATAACTTGTAAAACCTTTAAGTTTCATTCAATAACCTTAAATATAATTGACTTCTTTTACATAATATGAACTGCAAAGAAAAATTTATAATGTACTGTGATTACAAATATTTTTAAAAGAAGAATATAAAGAAGAGGATAAGAAAACTTCAAGAGATGAAAAAGATAATATTATTTTTACAAACTGCTTTAATAAAATAATTAAATGCACAGTATTTAAGATTAAGATTATATTATGTAGTAAAATTAAAGCATTAGTGGCAAACTATCCTTTCATTTTATGATTCTGTTTAATTTAAAAAACTTTTAAGAATGTTTTCACATTATTTTCAATAATTAGCTAATCTTATACAATCTCATCCTATATTTTTATTATGAGAAAATAAAATTTAAGTTTATGTTAAATTTTAATTAGCTGTATGTTAACTTAAATCTACTAGAAGTTTATTTAAGATTTATTTAAAATTTAAAATAGGAGAAAAAACAGTGATTCTTATACTAAATGAGTTATTTAAGCAATTATGATAAAAAAAAGTTTATTAAATGGTTTACTTTAGAAAAGCACGAAAAAATTCATGAGAGATTTGAAAATTTAGGAGAATTTAAAGATGTAATTGAGGCAGTTGATGAAATATATATTCCTATGAGAAATACTTCAAATAAAGATCCAGAAGTTTATTTTTTAGAAAAAACATATGCTATTTATTATCAAATTATTGTAAATTATAATAGGATTTTTATTAGTTTTGATGTAGACTAGTCAAGTTTAGTACATGATATTTGAGTTTTTAGAAATTTATCTTTTTATAAAAATTATTCTTATCTTATTCGAGATGATGATTATCTTTTAAGTGATTCAGCCTATCCTATTTTTCCTTTTTTAATTTTACCTTTTAAAAATCCTAGTTCTTAAAAACATAAAGAATTTAATCAATTTTATTTACATCATCGAGTTATAATAGAAAATGCTTTTAGAAGATTAAAAGTAAAATTTAAAATATTAATAGATCTTGATATTAAAACAATTAAAATGGAAATTTTATTTACATACTTGTGATAATTTTACATAACTTTTTAGAAATGAATATGAATATTTGAGATGTTGATTTTAATAATAAAATAATGATACAGATGATGAAGATAATGAAAATAACAATTATATAATGAGAAATAGGGATGATGTATTAAAAAGAATTGGGTAGGCTAAAAGAAACTTAATTTTTCATCAACTTTTCTCATAAATAATATTGTTAAATATATTTTTTTATTAAATATAATAATATGTAAAGTTAAAATAAAGAATAATAAAATAATTAAAAAAATATAAAATGATTAGGAGAGAAGAAATAAAAAAAATAAAAATAATTAAATAATTAAAAATAGGAAAGAAAAAATAAAAAAAATGAAAATAATTTAAAAATAAGACTAAGAAAATGGAGATAAAAAATAAAATAATTAAAATAAAGATTGATTGAATTTAGATCAGATATTGAATAATAATATAAATATATCTTAGTATACCTTTACGTGAAATTTTATTTTCTGAATTTATATATTCCAATTAAACCTATAAAAGTTAAATAAAAAAAATTTTTTTACTTAATAACAAATTTCTGATTAAATATTACAAATTAAATTATCACTTATTAGTATAAATTTCATGTTGAGAGAAAGAAAAAGAGGGAAAATAAAAAAATAAAATTTTAAAAAATAGATTAGAGAAGGAAAGTTAATTTTAACTAGAATCTGTTTATAAATCTATTAACCTTGATAATATATTAAAAATTGGTATCTTTTCTTTTTTAATGATTAAAATCAACATTTTAAAGAACCCTTTTTCTTTTTGATAATCTATAAAAGTAGCTAAATTCAGTTTTAATATGAAAAATATATCATTAGTATATAGTAAAAAGAAATAACAATATTAGTACAAAGTTTAATTCCTTTTTGTTTTAGTTTAAATTCTATTTGATTTTTTTAAATTTATAGATATTTTATAAAAGAAAATTTATCTTGAATAATTTATAATAATCTGGGTTTACCAATTGAAGTTATTAATTTAGAAGAAAAGGATGTTAAATTAATTTTAACTGTAGAATTTGATATTTAATTATTATGAAGTATTCATCCTTTTTTATAATTTGTGTTTAAAAAAAAATATTTAATTTAAAAATTTCAAATAAATTCAATTAAAAAAAAAGAAATTTTGAGGATAAGACAATTGATCTAATAAAAAAGATGTCAGAAAATATGCAGAAAATTTTTACAAATCATGAAAGTAGAATCCGCATCTTATCAAAATGAATCTAGGGTTTTTTTTATCTTTTTAATTTTACAATAAAAATCCTGAAGAGTTTAAATGTATAAGATCAAACCTTGTAACTTTAAATAAATCAACATTATTTTTATATACTTTTGACAGAACAGTTTTTAAATTTTCAATATTTAAAATGATTTCTAATTAGGCATTTTGATAATTAGTTAGAAATCATCCTATTATATCCTTATTTTATTTTTTTGATAAACTACAAGTGCTATAAACTAATATTCCACTGGGTCAGAAATAATGATTTTTTTGTGATAATATAAAGTAAATTTTGTGTATGATAAAAATAAATTTTATGAAATTTTGTGATTTGACTGGAATTAAGCAAGATTGGCCAACATTACGACTCGTAAATTCTGGCCAAATTTAGTGTTTACCGGAATTACAATGATTGCTATGAAATTTTGTGATCACAATAAATCATTGTCCCCGGGCTAGGGCTTATCTATCTCAAAAAGATCAGAATATCAACCCTTTGATTGGTCAAAAATATAATTTACCATTAAATGTAGTGATTTAACTTCATTTTTTATATTGAAATATTAAATCATAAATAAAACCTCAAGGTGAATGAGAATTTTTAAACTAACAATATTTGTATGACAAAATTTCATGCATGTATTTAAATGTGTCCGCTTCCTGCGCATGAGTTTATTAAATATTGTAAACAATTATTCGTTTAAACTTCCACTCTTTTTCAAATTTCTTTTTGTCATTCTAATATGTTGTAATATTGCAATTTAAAAATTCGAAGATATAATTATTATATTACTACAATGATATTTCAAAACATATTCACACGAAAATCAATTTTAATTTTCTTCCTTTTATTTGCGTTTTCAAGTTCATATATTAACGCAGAAAGTTCTAATGAACTTCAAGCTGTTAAAAGAGATGTTTTACCCGATTTTAACGTTCCTGTGGAGGGGATAGAGGGAGCAGAATTAGTTGGTGATGCCGAGGTATAATATTTATATTTTCGGAAAAAAAAATATATTGTGTTCTTTTACTTATTTTTTTTATTACCTTTAATATTCTTTTTTTAAAATAAGTCACAATTAGTTAGAGTTGAAGCAGAAGATCCTGATCTTGTTGGATCAGTACTTGATATCAACATTAAAGAAGCTAATAAAATTCAATCAGGAATTAGACCAAGTTCACCAATTATGGATATAGAAGAATCAAAAGCATTATTTCTTAGTATAATGATGATTATTGTATCAGAAATAGGAGATAAGACGTTTTTTATTGCAGCCTTAATGGCGATGAAAAATTCTAGAATTATAGTATTTTCAGCTGCTCTTTGTTCATTAATACTAATGTCGGTTCTTTCGGCTGTTTTAGGTTATGCTGTGCCAAATTTAATTCCAAAGGAATATACAGACTTTCTTGCAGCATTATTATTTTTATGTTTTGGTCTTAAAATGTTATACAGTGGTTATTATATGTCTGAAGAAGAAGCTCAACAAGAATTAAATGAAGTAACACAAGAATTAAAAGAGAAGGAAGAATTTGATCTAATTGAAACTGCCGAAGCTGGTGGTGTAGATGAAGAAGTAAATCATTCTGGTTTTAAAGATGGATTAATCAATTTATGCCAATTTATATTTTCTCCCGTTTTTGTTCAAACTTTTGTACTTACATTCCTGGGGGAATGGGGTGATCGTTCTCAAATTGCAACAATTGCCTTAGCTGCCGCTCAAGTAATTAAATCGCGTTAATTTTTTGATTTTTATATTTATTTATATCACATATATATATATATTTTTATTAATTGTGAAATCAACCTTTCATTTAGAATGTTTATTTTGTAACTTTGGGAGTTATTCTTGGTCATAGCATTTGTACGGGTATTGCTGTCATTGGAGGAAGATTTTTGGCTGCAAAAATTTCCGTTAAATCAGGTATGTGTATTTTATAGTTTAACAAGGTGTTTTATCGTTGCATTTATTAATGTTACTAATTTATTAAATTTTAATTAAAGTAACAATTATTGGTGGATTGCTTTTCTTAGCATTTTCAGTTTTATATTTACATGAGGCAATATCAGTATAAAAATTAAGAAACCGGAATTTGAAATATTAATGTATTGATGTATTATCGTTATTAATCTTTTAAGAATTGGTTACTTAGAAAATTTGTTAAGATATTATATATTTAAAAAACAAAAAAAAAAAAGCCATCATTTGAATAATGAAATGAAGTTTAATATTTTATTGGGACACTTTGTAATTATATTCGATAATACTATTTAATCATGGCAAAATTTCTAAAGTAGCAGGTTTACAAATATGACTTGTTATCTTTCTAACTAATACAAAATTCATTATTTTTCTTCCTTCACTACAAAAAAAGATTTTTTTTTTTTTTAAAAAATAAATAATAAAATAAATATAATATAATTCTATAATTTACCTTCTTTGAATTCTCGATAAGTTTAAAATACTAGTTACCGAGCAACATCCAATTGCAAATCCATGTCCTTGACTAAAAGAAAATTGTCCTGTTGTAACATAACCAATTATATCAGCTTTGGAAGGTAATGAAGACGGTCGAACCTAAATTATTCAATAAAGTATTACTAAAGAGAATAACTAAATTACATTTAAATGCGCTCAAATAAATAAATCTCGTTGATTTACCCCCTCAGCGTCGTCATTTTCTGATTCAATACTATTTGAATCGTCTTTTCTGTTGTTGAGCACATTAACCCAATGATCATATTTAATCTTATCAGCCTTATATATTATAGAATTTGGTCCAGGTAATCCTCGTGCCAAGAATCCTACTCTGACATGAACAAGAGCTTTACTTGTATCAGGCGAAACAGCTCCACTTTCAAGACTTATACCTCTAGAATTGAATGCCTGTATGATTTGTTTAGAAAGTTCTATGTCAAATTCTTCACTGGAATTTTCGACATTCTCAAGTAAACGAATGTTTTTTATTCCTTGAAGTAACCATGTCATTGTTTTATCGTGTACAGAATCACGTGATTCTATTGGATTTATTCCCAGTTGACCAAACGGTGGTTCGAATGGTGAATCAACTAGAAGTTTTTTGAAATTAGGACGTTTTGCAGGTGGGCGTTTGTTATACTCTGATTGCGTTATCTTTTTCAGATCATTAGAAAAATTCTCATATGGTATAGTACCAGGAAAATCGTATGGAAAACATGGTATACCTGATTCGAAGTGATGGTTATGACGTTCTCGCAACCCTATAATTATATAAAGTGATTAAATTTGTTATTTAAAAACAAATAATTATTGCTAACCGATTGACTTACAACATACCACCAACCCATGCACCTGCAAAAATAAAACTTTTCCAAAAAGCCATGCCCCAATTAGCAGGCATAATGATATTCCAACCACCTACAAATTCTGGCGATGATGTTTTTTTTGATGGAATCGACATATTAATTCCATCCCGTTTTATTAAAAAGATTGGAATTAGCGAATCCTCCGATTGTAATAATAACTTTTGCCCCGGAATAAGTAACTTTCAATAAAAACAATTACCGTTAAAACCATCCGAATCATATTTAACTTTAAAAATCATGTATACTTACTTTACTTCTGCGTTTATCTAATTCACCGTCAGAAATTTTATTGGAATATAATGCATTCCGAACCTCGTCACTCCATAGTTCAGAATATGCAACATTTTCAGGCCAATTAACCAAAATATCTTGCAATTCTCTTTCTGATTCAACAGGCATCAGGTTCGACCGCTGGGGGACTTTCTTTGGAAACCTGCATATATTTATTCATTAATATATGTTGAAACTAATATTTAAAAATTAAAAACAATACAAACTGTAAGCGCGGATCGAGGACCGTTAACCCTAATATAATGCTAGGTGGTAATGAAGTTGATGTTCGTAAACCACGCAAAGCTTTCCATGTCTAAATAAAATTATTTTTGTTTATTAAAAGAAATATTCAAATTAAACTATATGTACTTACCTTATGTGCTTCATGATTTACACGTGGTTTTGACGACATTTTATCAATGTCCTTGGTTAAATCGATTGGATCATCATACAGATCTAGAACAGTCTGTAATAAGGCCGTTGAACGTGGGCCCGTTAATTCAAACATCAGGAATTCATCTTGAAGATTTTCAATCGATATAGCTATAGAAAAGCGGATATATTATTAATAACAGATTAAAAATTAAATAGTTTCTTCATTCGTATGTTTCTCCTACATTCACTTAAATTCAACTGTTCACGTGCAAATTCCAAAGTTCTTAACACCTCTTCAAAAGCACTAGGATGAATCCAAATAAGAATACTTCGATTTTTATCCACTGAATTTATGATTGGCTTCCAAATAAGATTTATTGGTGCCAAAAAATGATTTGGATATTTTAAATAAGCGTATATGAAAGTGGAGCATTGTCGTTTTCCGTTCGAATACCTACATTTGAATTCATTTTATATATATTTATATTTAAATAACTTTATCAAATCGTAAATATATTGCAAACCTTTCACTTCCTACGGATGGTAATGTTGGGTCCGTGACACTATTTAACAACATTATGATATTACTGGAAATACCGGAAACTTTTATCCACCCAAAATAAGAAGCGTCATGAATAATCGAAAGATGTTCACTTGCTCGATACGATGCTTTAATGCTCTTCTCATTTGGATGTTCTGCCTTAAAGTGTTTATTAAGATATTTTTGTTACAAATTTAAAATAAAATTAAAATATAAACAGAAATATTACCAATTTATATCCCCATATTTCAGTCATCTTCATACGCTTAGAATGCCACATATGGGTTTCAAGCCACTTCTTATTTGCTACT